CCAGACACGATTATGTAATTTTGCAATATGACAATGCTCGGCCACATGTTGCACAGGTCGTCAAACCCTACCTTGAAACACTCAAATGGGATGTCCTACCCCACCCGCCGTATAGTCCATACCTTGCGCCATCCGATTACTCTCTTCCGATCAATGCAACATAGCCTGGCTGACCAGCACTTCTCCAATTATGAAGAAGTCAAAAATTGGATCGATTCGTGGATATTGGAGAAGCCGGCCGAATTTTTCAGAAAGGGTATTCGTGAATTGCCAGATAAATGGGAAAAGTTCATAGCTAGCGATGGACAATACTTTGAATATTAAATTTGTAACCATTGTTTCACAATAAAGCTTCAATTTTCGAAAAAAAACCGCACGAATTAACCGGTACACTTATTAGAAACTCGTAAATACTGTCAGCATGAAAAAATTAACAGAATTAGAACAATTGCATAAGCAAATATTTAATAATTCCGAAATTAATCAATGGGCTGATAACTGTAACAAACTGAAAACAGAAATAGTAACGTGTAAAAAAGAAGAATTATTTAGTTTGATTACGCATTTGATTGGTCAACTTAATGAAAATGCCGAGATAGTAAATAATGTCGTAGGTGATGCAGAAAATATAAGATGATGAAACAAAAAAATCAATAGAAAAAGATAACAGGATAAACGAAATAAAATTAGAAACGTTTAAACTTAAGAAAGAAAATGAAAAAGCGCGTGTCGAAATGATAGAATTAATTAGAAAATTTAGAAAAATATTGAATACCTCAGAAGAACGATTGAAAATTCAAGATTTAGAGATATTAAAAAGAAGAAATGACAGTATTCGATATGATGCAGAGGTTAATGAATACATAAATATAATTTTGGACCTAGAGTCCGAAATTAAATACCGGAACGAGTTACATCATAAATTGAACATTAAAAACGATGAGTTACATGACAAATACGATGCGTTAAAAGAAAAATATTATGAACAAAATAAAATAAATGTGAATCACA